CTTGCGGTCTGCAAGTGAATGATGCCTCGTGGTGCCATCCCAAAGAGGCACAAAATAACTCTCAGGGACCTTTTCCTGGACTGTTCCCAGCTGGTGGAATGACCTGCCGATCTCAATCCGAGCAGCTGAGTCTTTAAACATTTTCAAGAAACATCTAAAGACACATCTTTTTCGCCAGCACCTGACCAACTAATACTAGCACTTACCTATTCTATTCCATTCTATTATTTAATAATTAATAATAATAAAAAAAAAAAAAAAAACTAGCTACGTGTACTGTGCTAGACTAACTGAGACTTGTCATGGCACTTGTGTACTGTTGTTCTCTCGTTGGTCTGATTGCTTCTATTGTTCTCATTTGTAAGTCGTTTTGGATAAAAGCGTCAGCTAAATGATTAAATGTAAATGTAATCGCACATTTTTTCTGAAATTAATCGTGATTCATCGCGATTAATGCCACCTAACATTAAAGTTTTGAAAAATACTTCTATATTGCAATAATTTCACATTTAATATTCAAATTAATGTAGAAACAACATAAAGACAGTATATTTTTTATATTTGTATAATGGCATCTTTTTTTAATCACTGAAGGCCAGTATCACTCTGATGTCTCTATGAAATATTTTTTCCCCTAATATTTAACCATTGATTAGACATTCAACATTACAAAGCTATCAATTTTAACATTTATTAGACTACTTAAAATAACTTCTAATTTAAGTGAACTTAAAACAGTCTTCACATAAACCCATTATAATAAATGTCATAATTACCTGTGCCCTTCAGCAAGTAGGAAATATACAGAAATTGAATAAATTTATCAAGCACTAAATTCTAAATTAAATGTAGATGAATCATTAAAGATACAAAAGTTATTGATTTCCTCTTTTTACCTCTTTTTAGCTACCGACGCTGAACGTGACGTGGATCTCACACACATCTCTTTACCTATTCTGACCCACTTCAGTTCTTAAAGTCTCTAATGAGTTGAATCGGGTGTGATGATGAGGGAGACAACTTTTTTTATGACTGAAGGCCAGAATCAATGATACCAATACTGATTTCTCTATAAAATTGCCCCCCCACAAAATTTAACCATTGACTATTGCATTTCAGCATTACAGTATAATTGAGAGCTATCAAATTTAACATTTATTAGACTTTAAAAAATAACTTCTAATTTAAGTGAACTTAAAACAATCTTCACATAAACCCATTATAATAAATGTCATATGCACTTCAGCAGAAATATACAGAAATTAAAATTGAAGTTATCAAACACTAATTTCTAAATTAAATATAGATGAATCGTTAAAGCTATAAAAGTTATTTTTTCCTCTTTTTTTAGACATTTTTTCTTCTTTTTTGATAGACATCACAGTTACAGGTTTTACGGTAGTGGTGCTATATAGCACCTTAACCACTCCAAAGAACCGCTGAAGAAACTTTTTTTTTTAGAGTGTACGCAAAATCTAGCAATTGTGCTTACATACCCTTTTAGGATGAAATCTACGGAGAATTTTATAAATGAGACCCCTGGGCCGCAGGGGCAGTTCTAGACCACAGTAACTGGGGGGGCCAGACAGTGGCCACTTGTGCTTTTAGGGTGCACAATTTTAAAATTCATCTTAAACTACTTTAAGTAGCCTATTATTCATTCAGTAATTTTTCACCATGTCATGTATCGCTGCAATCTAGATGTAATCTATAACAATGTCAACTAAAATATGTCATATGACACACAGCAGCCACAAACAGATATAGGCTTATGTCTCTACTGAA